CAAAATGGAAATTAAGGCATCATGTCTCACTGACTTTATTGAGAAAGACTGTTTCTTCAACTAATAAATAAAATGATGTAAAATTGCAGTTTTTTCTCAGGTCAGGATATAATCTATCAAGGGGAATTTTGAAATACTGCTGAATCCCTATATTCAGAAGTAGCTTTCTTCCAGTTTATCTGAGACCCTGGGCTGTCCAAAGTTCTACAGGTGACACCCTCGAGGCTGGATCACAAGTAGTCATTTTCTAGGAAGTATTTACTATATTAGGAGCAAAGGCTAGGCTGATCCCACAGCCTAGTTGTGAAGGGAACTAGATCTCACATGGCCAACTCTGGTTCAAATCCCAGGTGGTTTGAAAAAACACCAGGTACATGTGTATGCCTCAAATTCTGAAAGGATGGAGAAGCTGAGAAGAGACTGACTGCAGCTTGAGCACCCCACTGCAGGGATGCATTTTCTTTCCAGCAAGTGCACTGCGCTCCGGCAATGAATACTTTTTAAAAATATCAAAGGATGGCCAGTTACTTACCTATATCCTGGCGAAAGGTTTTCTGGTAGGTTGCTCTACTCCTTTCAAGTGCTCACCTTCTATTTCCTTTATGTAGTTAGTTACTTAAAATTTACCATTTGGATCTTTAAAAAAAAAATCAAATTGTTTTTCCTGAGGATTCATTCAATATTCCTAAAGATTATGAGATTCTGTAATTCTTTTAAAAATATTTGTTTATGTATTACTTCCATGAGAGGGGTTGGGGGAGAAAGAGAGAGATCTTTGGCAGGATCCTCATGCCGCAATCCTTCCCCTACCCTGACCCAACTAGATCACAGGTGTACCCAGCACGCACAGGAAGCCCGGAGATGTGAACCCAGGACTTTCTCACAGGGCCTCAGCAGCACAGTGTGACGTTATTGCCGCATCACAATGGCTAACTGAGATTCTATAATTCTCTAACAAACTTTACAGAGAAATCTATCTCCTCTGTTAATTATGCTAACAAATAAATTATCCTTACCTTTTTAAGAGGTTTTTGTGCTCAACTAGAGAGAGAGAGAGAGAGAGACAGAGATAGTGAAGTGAAAATGAGAAATTACCCCCCGAGGAGAGATGGCCATGCTGCAATCCCTTCTTCTCCATTCTCCTCTCAGGATCTAGGGCACACACTCATATGCACCTGGCGTGAGTTTCAAGCCACTGCGTCTGATACTCAAACCCAGTCAGCCATGTGAAAGGCCAGCAACACAACCACTATCTGCTGGCCCCTACATTTACCTTCCTTACCTTCTCTGGAATCTTCCCAGTGAATTCTTGTTTGACTCTAGTCATTTCAACATTATTTCATGATTTCAGAGGATGTCACAAATCTTATAAGACAATGAGAACAAAATGGTCATCGAGATTTGCACTGCCCTGTTGAGTAGCAGTCAGGCACACATGTCTATCTGAATTTATATTTGAATTAAATGATGTGGAAGTAAAAATTCATTCCTTCTGTTACACTAGCCATGTTTCAAGTGCTCGAGAGCCCATGTCGATAGTGGCTGTGATCGTCAACACAGGGGAACATTTCGAGCGTTCTGTTACAAAGCCCTGGTTCAGACCAAAGAAACCAAACGACCTTCTGCCTAAAAAGTTGTGAGCATTGTAAAGCCTCATTCAAGCCATTCTATGTTACTCAGAGTTTCAACTGGTTACTAGTGAACTAGGAGAAAACAATCTGCTTCAATTTGCTAATTCCTCCACTGTTTAGCAAAGAATGATCAAAGAGCAGGTAGGAGAAACCATCAACCAATTAGTCTCTTATTCTGAAGAGAATTCTACAACTATTTGCCTCAATAACAATCTGTTTCTTTAATTAATGGTAGGTATCTGCCATAGGATGCATGTGCTCAATGGAGAGAAACAGAGAGAGAGAAAATGAGAAATCACTCTCCAGGGGGAAAAGGCCATGCCACCATCTCTTCTCCTCCATTCTCCTCTTGAGATTTTGGGCATACATGTATGCTAACCTGGTCTGATTTTCAAGCTGTCAGGTCATGTGGGAGTACAGTGCCTTAATAACCACACTTCCTGTTGGCCTCATGTTTATAACAATCTTATCTGCTAAAATAAACATTTTCTAAATTTCGAACATTTTATAATTTATTTTATTTGGGACTAGCACATGGAGTAATAGTTATGTCACTGGACTCCCACATAGTCAACCACGGCTCAGGTCCCAGACCTGGTGGTTTAAAATTCACACCTGGTGCTTGTGCATGCATGCCTAAAATCCCAAGAGGAGGATGGAGGAGAAGGGGTTGCAGCATGACCATTTCCCCTGATGGGTGATTTCTCATTTTCTGTCTTTTTCTGTCTCTCTGGAGAGCACATGTACCCTGTAGTAAAAATCTCTCTAAAAAAAAAGAAAAAAAATGTATTTTATTTATGATAGAATGCAT